TTTTTTTTTTTTTTTTTCTTTAATCATCCCTCTAAAATTCCCTTAAGCCCACTGGCAGTCAATCCCTGCTCCCACCCTGCCCTATACATAACTACTGATCTGCTTTCTGTCTCTGTAGACTTGCCTTTTCTGGGCAAGGATTCAATGATTGTATAATTTTTTACATCAGTCATCTAATAATTAGTGAATCATATTTTAAAAGCTAATAAAGGAGATGGCTGTTTAAAGGAACCAACAGAGATGTCTTTTCTAAGAACTAGTCATCACAGGTAAAAAATAAAATATTGGGGGAAGGAAACAAGGGAAGGCAGGCAGGAGCATCAGAGGAGGAAGCTGGCCATGGCTAGCAGGAATCTCACTGTTCTTCGTGCCTCTGCCAGCTCTGTGAGGCCACAGAAGCAACCTTGACCCTGGCTCTTAGTTGGCTGGCCTTCTTTCCCCTGACTTTTTGGACATTGTCTTCTGCTTCTGTTTTCAAGATCAAACTGGATTCTTCAAAAGTCAGTTTGGCAGACACTCTTTACTAATTAAGCTACTGGGCAACGTACAAATACTGCCTCAGAAACGCAAAGAGGGGTTGCTATAAGTTGGAACCGACTTGACAGCAGTGAGTTTGGTTTTTTTTGGTTTATTGCTTGGTTAGGGGCTCTGGTGCCACTGTGGTTAAAGCATTGGACTGCTAACCAAAATGTTGGCAGTTCAAACCTACCAGCCACTCTATGGGAGAAAGATGAGGCAATCTGCTTCCATAAAGATAGACAGCCTTGGAAACCCTATGGGGGCAGTTCTGCTCTGTCCTAAAGGGTGGCTATGAGTCTGAATCGACTTGATGGCAATGGGTTTGTCCTTTTTGGTTTATTGTTTGGTTTGAAGAAGACTCCAGGGAATATTTTCGGTTTAAGGTTTAAAGATTATCTCAGGGCAGGAGTTTCAGGAGTTCACCAGCTTACTAGCTTCAGAAGAGCCTGGATTCCATGAGAATTTGCCCGCTCATGGACTTCTCTTTGTTCTACATTGGGCTCTTTTAAAGAACGACCTATATAGGATCAAACTGACAACACTAACTTGAAAGGTCAAATAGTAAACTTAGGGGCAATGACTATGTTATCAGGGGGCAATTCAGAATAGGAGGGTGAGAATGGTCACACAATTTGAAGAATATAATCAATATCACTGAATTGTACATGTAGAAATTTTTCAATTGGTGCTATGTCTTGCTGTGCATATCTTCAACAACAATTTTTTTAAAAAAAAGTTTAAATATAGAATATTATGAAATAGTATCTTAAATATTAAGCAACTAAAAAAAAAAAAAAAAGAGTTTGGGAGCTGGGGGCTGGTATGTTGCTCACAACTGTCTCAAAGTGGAGAGAGCAAAGAGATAGAAAGAAGACTCCTCAGCCCCAGGCTAAGACCATGCTCTCAGAGGTCCCTGACCTGCTGTTGACCTTTATCACCATCTGCAATTAAACATTTATGTGATTACTTAATGAATGTGGTTCCTGCATTAGACTCTGAGCTCCCTGAGGTCAAGAGAACCATATCAGTTTGTGTTCACCATCTTATCCCTGGCACCCTTCACAATGCTTTGGCACACAGCAGGTACACCATAAACTCTTGTTGACCTAACCACTTAATTTAATCAGCAGGGTCCCATGATGCTTTGAAAATAAGGACTGGAACCTGCAGTGGATAGAAAACTCTTTTGCTTAGAAATATTTTAAAAAGAAAACAGATATAACCTGGGATTTGTTCAACCATTAAAACCTCTATAAATATCAGTATAGGGAGTAAACAAGAAGTCAGAATTGAGGCCATATCCACATTTCCACAGGAACAGACAGCTACATGTGGTCAGTTCAAGTACAGACACCTGGGCTGCACTTGGGAGACACAGATCAGCTGTTCCTCCTTAAAATGAAAACAGCACTTCTCTGAGGAGGAATGCAAGGAATTCTAATGGTGAAGTGGTTAAAGCATTTGGTTACTAACCAAAAAGTGGATGGTTTGACCCACCAGTTGCTCCATGGAAGAAAGATGAAGCAGTTTGCTTTCATGAAGATTTACAGCCTTAGAAAGCCTATGGGCGTCACTATGAGCCAGAATCAACTCTACGGCAATGAGTTTGGATTTTTTTTTTTTAAGGTGGAATGCAGGTGTCTATGGTGGTGAACCATGCAGAATTGTTAGCATTTCCAAATCCCAGAGCCCAGCTTGCACTGGTGTCTGCAGTCCCCTGGGGCTGACCATACCTGGGTCGGTGTTGACCACAGTTCTGCTCTGAATGAGCTGGGAAGGGGAGAAGCTGATCTCCGACAGCCATGGCCTGAGGTCCACGTAAGCATCTTCAAGTTGCTGGATCACATAGAGAAGGAACTCACACACCTCCTCACCCTTGCTCTGCACCAGGTCCAGGAGTTTGCGGACCTAGTGGTTGCACAAGCAGGAGGATATAAGCTGGCATTGGGGGCATCTCCTATAGGAAAGACCCCCAGTGGACACATAGCACGGCTCTGAGTTCTTACTACAACCTCTAGCTCAGGCGTTCCCCAGATAATGTGAGAGTTTACATGGTGGGGGCCTAGGATCTATGAAATGGACCACCTCAGAAATAAACCTACACAGCTCTAAGAACCAGGAGGCACCCATGAGCCTAGTTAAAAAGGTAAGACTCACTAGAACCAGTGCCCGCCCCTCAAATTCTCTCTGTCTTCTTTTCTGTCTTCACGTGACACAATTGCCATCCAGGAGTGCCTAGATGGTACAAATGGTTAACATGCTCAGCTGCTAACCAAAAGGTTAGTGATTCAAGTCCACCCAGAGGTGCCTTGGAAGAAAGACCTGGTGCTCTGCTTCTGAAAGATCACAGCCATTGAAAACCCTATGGAGCACAGTTCTATTCTGACACACCTGAGGTCAAGTAGATGACAACTGGTTTTTATTGCTGTCTAGAGATCAGTAGGGAACTCTGGTGGCATAGTGCTTAAGGCATCTGACTGCTAACCAGAAGGCTGGCAGTTCAAAGCCACTCTCTGGGCAATCTACTTCCATAGTGATACCACCTCAGAAACCCAAGGAGGGGTCGCTATAAGTCAGATCTGACTCGATGGCAGTGGGTTTGGTTTTTGTGGCAGCGCAGTGCCTAGAGCATTTGATTGCTAACCAGAAGGTTGGTGGTTTAAACCAACCAGCCACTCCTCAGAAGGAAGGTTGGACAATCTACTCCCATACTGACACCACCTGGGAAACCCAAGGAGGGGTCGCTATGAGTCAAATCCAACTCGACAGGAGTGAGTTTGGTTTTTTTTATTTGTTTGTTTTAGAGATTAATCTGAAGAAGGGAAAAGTCTCCCCTCAGAGATAATGAGGTGGGGTCCTGGGCCACACAGCAAGGGGGCATCAAAAGCCCATGTAAATTTTATATTCAAAATGGCATTTGTGCTATTTTAAAAGCACAGAAAAATAATCAAGAGAAGAGACCAAAGCATCAGAGTGTACTACTGGGCTTCCCTCAGCAAACCTTCTCATTCCTCCTGAGCCTCAGTGGGGTCACATTACAAACAGGCTCTGTCATTCCTCTAGGTACAAAGGACTTTTTTGGTCTTGCCAATTTTATTTGTCAGAAGAGAACACAAAGCTAAAGTGAAACTAAGGGCTGTAAAGATGTCCTGCAAGCAGAATATAGAAAATTCTTTATTGTGGGCCCAGAGTCATTCTTAAACGAGCTCCATGCCCATTCTGTGAGTTTTATGCCATAAGGAGCCATTTTTCAGAGTTTAGGACATCTAATGAAAATTATTACTAGTGTTTTATGCTCATTTCCTTGTGCTCTCCTAAAGTAAAGTGAATTTTTAAGAGTTGATTGTGAGCCAAGGAACATAACAATTAAGCTGAGATGGAAGAGGAGTTTGTTCTAGTTCACAAACACAGAAGTGAAATACTTAACTGCAATAAGCCAATAACCCAGGCAGTTATATTCTATCAAGACCCTAAAGTGAAATACTGCCCAATGTACTGAAGCTCCTCCCAAAGCCCTTCTTTCAGGTCAACTGGAGAATCCTCTTGCAGCCACTAAGGTCCACAACCTGTCACTGCCAATCCCTATCCCTGGGCACCTTGTCAGGCTGGGTGGGGCAGGCACACACGATCTCTGCATCTTCCTCTGAGAAGTAGTCATTCTTCAGCAGATTGTCCAGCAGGCACTGAGTGTTGTGGATGTGGGTGACCAGAAGCTCCCGGTTGATTATGAGCAATTTAATGTGGGACGGAGACTCTGACCGGATTATTCCCATCCTACTGGGGGCTTGCTTCTCCATGGTCAAAGTGCCAAATGGCAACTTTTCCCACATTCATCGTTAGCTGTATCTGTCCTCCTGGCAGAGGACACTCAGGAACCAGGGCGCCTGCCCCTCAGTGTAGCCCCTGAGGAGACAAAGGCAAACATCATCAAAGCCAAGATCATGGGAAGGATTCTTCTCCCTACCTCTCTCCCCTAGTATCCCAGGCTTTCTCCTCTTAGAGCAGGCGGAGGACATGACTAAGAATATTATTTGAGGTTGAACAACCTGATGACCATAATCAATGTCTGTGTCACAAGGAGCTCTGGTGGTGTCATGCCTAAGACATTTGACTGCTGATCAGGAGGTTGGCAGTTCAAACCCACCAGCCACTCTGTGGCAGGAAGATGGGGCAATCTACTTCTGTAAAGATTTACTGCCTCAGAAATCCAATGGGGCTCCCTATGAGTCAGAATTGACTCAGTAGCAGTGAGGGTTGTTTGTTTCTTTGTTTGTTTTGAATTGTGCACGTGAAGATTTGTTGAAATGGCAAACGTTTTGTTACCTATATATTTACCACAATTAAAAACAAAAAAGCCATTTCCCAATGTTATCGTGGTGGTCATATATCCTTCCCATATATCCCTCCCCCTACCCATGTCAGCTTGCTCATAAGAGATAGATGACAGATGTTAAAACCAACCAGTGTGTCCACAATACCACATTGCCATTAACACCAAACACTAGGCTATACAGATAAACACATAAACACCTGAGATGATCAGACAGGGATCAGTGAATAGAGGTATACTCTGGATCAAGGATAGACTCAGCTGCAGCTAATCTTGTACAGACACCAGTGATACAAAATACCTGCAGTCCTTACAGACACAACAGAAGACAGACACAGAGTAATCCTTCACAGACATCCCAACACTATGGGAGAGAGATCCATTAGAGCTACTACCTCAGGACTATAGTACTGGGGTACACCAAACTCAATTGGCACAACAAAATACATAAAAGCATTGCTCCACATCCTATATTGGTGAGTAGTGACTGGGGTCTTAAAAGCTATCAAGCAGCCACCTAGGATGCAGCTAATGATCTCCCAGCGTCGGAAATGAAGAAGAACACACACACACACACACACACACACACACAAAGAGCATTTAGAAGCAGTCAACCCTAGGACACGATGGCCCTCGAGACCAGAAGAACT